TTGTACATGAAATTACTATTTTATATTCACATTCTTCAAATGGTGTAGTCGAGAAGAAGAACAAGACTTTAATTGATTTGTTTTTTAGAAAGAGGATATTAACAAAGAAATGGATTCTTTTATTTCAAACAATACTTGAAAATAGTTGAATTACCTCTTAGCTGCAAAACAATTGGATGTAAATGAGTTTTTAGAAAAAAGTTAAATCGCTACGAGTTCTTTAGACAAATTTTAAAGTCTGGAATGGTAGCTAAATGTTTTAAGAAAAACATTTTTTTTTATACCTCTTCTCTAGTTACTAAATTTTTATTAGATTATTTATTGTTATCATGATTATTCATAATCTATTTATTTATATACCACATGGATGAAAACATAATTTTTTAAAGTGTAAATTTATAAGAAGAAGCATGCGTGGATATGAAAAATATAATTAAATTATGGAATGATAAATAAATGTTCATGACAAGGAATGTATAATGATAGGATGAAATGAAAGTACAAATTAACTAAATAAATTAAAACAAAACGTCGATTTATCGTTCCAAACACTTGTTCACACACTCACAATTCACTATTCATTAGTTTTTTTACACTTTGGTCCTTGATCTTTGCCAAATAATCTTTCGGTCCACATCTTCATTTGCTCATCCATTTTGGTCCCTGGATGAGAGAGAAGGGAGGAGGGAAGAGAGAGACGGGAGGAGAGAGAAAATCACCGGTCAAGCTTATTTAGGCCATTTTGGTCGACGAAAATCTACTAGATTTGTTTATCTTTGAGAGATGAGTTTCTCCATGATTGTTTCAAGCCATTAAACCATTAGAGGAGGTAGATCATAGCCAAAAAAAGAAACAAAGTTTCGATATGGTTGTGTAATTTGTTTTTGTTTTTCTATGCATTAAAATGATTTTTAAGGTTTTAGATATGTTTATTGGCTTTATTTCGATTATTTAGAGGTGTTTAAGGAAAAAAATGATGCTGAAATTCAATTTCTAGGGGTTTGAAACTTGAATCTCGACTTTCCGACGAAGATTCTAGCGACTTTGATTGTCGAAAGTTGCAGCCCACGGTTGTTGTTTTTTTTTTTTTGCGAGTAGCCCGAGCTCGACGCGTAGGCCTTCGTTGTTTTTGTTTTCTTTTTTTTTTCCTTCCGTTCCAGCTTAGGAAACTGTTATTTATTTTGGTCCCTTCATTCTTTTTTTTTTTTTTAATTTTGGTCATTCATCTTTTATGATCTTTGATTTTTATCCCTATTAAAAATATTAAAATTTTATTATATGTCATTTTAATCCTTATAATCAAAATTTTTTTAACTTTTAGTAAAAAATTATGTTTTTATTTTAGTTATGAAAATTTTCTCATATTTAATTTTTATCCTTACTATGCTAAAACTAAATAAAATTTACCATCCTAAGGTTTTTTTTTTACTGAAATTTTCTTTCTATTCTAATTTCTATTTTGTTATTTTTTTTTCTTTTTGTCATTAAATTTAGTAAAAAAAATTTTTTAGTCTTTGTTTTGTAATTGTTTTTTTTTATAATTAAATTTTTTTCCTACAAGGAACTATTTTTTACTTTTAATAAATTTTTTTGTTATATGTTGGTTTTTGTTTTATGATATTTCATTTATTTTGATCATTAAAATTTTATTATATTTAATTATTAATCATTTTACATTAAAATTAAATACATTTTAACTATCCTAATTTTTTTTTAGTGAAAACTTTTTTGTTTTCATTCTTATGTTATTAATTTTTTTATTTTAGTCATTAAAATTCTATAATGTTTACTTTTGTTCCTGCCTCATGCATAATGAAAATTTTTTAGTCTTATTATTTATAAGTATTTTTTGTATGCTTTTAGTAAAAGTTTTATTTATTTATTTTTATCCTTTTATAATCTTTACTTTATTTTAATCATTTAATTTTTATAATGTGTAATTTTAGCTCTATTTTCTTTGCCAAGTTCTCGATTTGACGAGCTTTTTTATCTTTTTGTTTTGAGTGCTCTCTCTGTCTCATTAATAAATTACGGATGAATAATATATGGTAAAAATTAATCATAAAAAATTCAAAAAACTACCACATTATTATTTTAATTATCAGCTATTAATAAAATATATTTTTATATAAAAAATATCTAATTATCAATATTATATTACTCAATTTTACAGATTTTTCATTAGCTAACCCTATAACAAATTATGAAATATATATATTTTAATTTTTTTTAAAAATTATTTTCTCATGATATTGTCAAATAATGATTTATAAATATTAAATTTTATATTTATGAATGCATAAGAATGATATATAATTCATCTCGCGGTGACATGCGGGATATACGCTAGTGTATAACGATGAAGGAATCATCACGGCCCATGGGTGCTGGTCTGTACTTTTTTTTTTTTTCTGTCGAAACTGTAGCAGAAGGCCCTAAAACAAAACAATTAATAGGCCATAAAATACGGCCCACGGGAAGGGCACAGGCTGGAGGAGCCCTGCTTGCGGTTCTTTAGAAAAGGAGGAAAGAAAAAGCACAAACATAGTGTACAGGTGGGCATCTTAGGCACGCATCTGTACTTCCTGCAACTGAGCGACTTCTCAAGTCCAAATCGAAAGTCCAAATCGAATGAAAAGAGAGAATATTGAGCTTTATTAATCACCTCACCTCGTACGAAAGCCGGAGAGGGCAAATGGAGACATTTTTGCAATGAACAGGCCTTACAAATTAGATAAAAGAGGAGAAAGTGACGAACGAACCAAGGCGTAAGTCCGATGGTTAAGATAAGTTTTTTCTCCGTTTCTTGATTCTTTTAAGTTTAATTCCAGAGATCAACATAAAACTTATGAGTACGTCAAATTTATATGAAGGATGCATTTTTAAAATTGCATGCAAAATGCCGTTTCTAGTGGAAAAAAGAAAAAGAAAAACAAGCTCGTATACTAATAATAATTTTAAATAACAATCGTGTTTGAAAAAACGATGACGATCGCGATTATGGATTATAGCTTATTACGGTAGCAAAATAACAATCGTGGCAACCGAAGTCGTAAATACTTTAACAATCTGTTAATAAATTTATTCTAATTTATATATTTTTAATAGTTTTACTAATTAAGCATACTAATAAGTAATAATATTTCTAATATTTTAATATCATACAAGAATAATTGAATTTATTATAAAAAATAATTAATAGCACTTCTAATAGATAAATATCACAAAAAATAATAAAATACATTACAATTTCAATAAACATATTATAAAATATTCATATTTAAAATAATCATCATGGTGAATAATAATAAGAATTATCATTTTGTTGTTAATGTTATAATTCTTGTCCATCAAAATTATAACCATAACCAGTTTAGAAAAAACAAATTACAAAATAATATAAAATTAAAAAAATAATAAGTTTTTAAAATAATAAAGATCATCTAATTTATTTTTTCAAACTCAAAAGGACTAATTTATAATTTATTTAATTAAAGCAATATTTACTTTGCAGCTTATGAATTTGTGCATGCAAGAACAACAAAGAAGAAAAATAAAAGATTAAATCATACATTAATTTTTCTAGTTTTAATAAATGAATTAATTAGATTTTAATATTTTAAAAACTAATTATTTAGTCTTTTAATCAATATTAATTTTTTTAATATATTATATTTTATTCTATAAAATATTTTTTTTATCAATCTTTTTCATGGTAAACTTTATTTTTCCCTTTTTCTATTTGTTAAAAAAAGAAGAAAAAAAAATTGAAAAAAAATATAAAATGAACAAAATAAATAAGTTGTTGGTTTTTCAAATAGAAGGACTAACTAAATTATTGTTTCAAAAGAAGAGGACTAATTTATACTTTATTCAATCAAAACCGCAAATCTCTTGCTTTTCAAAATAGAAGTCTCCGCTGAGCCTCTGGTATTTGATATTCACGTGTCTCTTGCTTTTCAAAATAACTCTCCTCTCATCTGATATTGTCTCCCTCTCTGCCTCCCAGCCCCATCTCTGCCTCTCTACCTCTCTGCCTCTCTCCCTCTGCCACTCATCACTGTCTGAATTTCGGCAATTGAAATTCTGTATTTTTCTTTTTGTAATTCCGTTATATAACGAAAAATAACGACATTAAGTAACGATAATACTATCATTTTTTGTTATTCATGTGAAACTGCATCGAGCACCCGTAACGTCGAATAACGGTAACGGATATAATGGATATTTCGTTACCATTATATAACTACCGTTACGTGACGTTATCTAACAGCCTTTTTTTAAACCGTACAGCAAAGCTAAGCACCATTTCTGAAGATTTATTAGCCAACAAATAACCAACTAGTCGGTCAATGTGACTCTATGAAAGATCATGAATTATTTGTACTGTATAGTATTTCTTCTTTAATGGTACCAGATTGTAAATATAAATGAGCCACCAAATTTGCATCGATGATAGAACTGGCACCCTTCTACTGGGCCATCAGGAGGGCACCATATTCAGCACAAACAGACAGACCATGCATCTTTTTCAGATTTCTTTGCAGTAGTGTACAAACAGAAATTTGGAAAATCCCTTTCATCTGTGCTCTGCAACTTCAAAATTTTATCGGTTGCTCAGTCAGAGTCACGTTTTATGAGGTATGGCCCACTGGATAGAAAACAATGCAAGTTTTTTAGATGCATCTAAATGAGAGAATCCTGTAGATGTTTGAGACACTTGAATCACATCATAAAGGAAAAGGAATGTCTAAATCTACCAAGGGGCACAATGATTTCAGGTTTTCAACTGTGCAGATATCAACCATATAGGACCTGTAAAATTTGAAGATAACTAAATTAACAGGAGAAACACAAACGTAATATCCTAATATATGAGGCATTTATCGTTTAGTAAGGACTCGAGGTTGAAGCCAAGGAAATTCGAGCGCCAGGGTCCCATACCCAAAAACATATCGGCTTTAGCTTTGGCATGTGTGCGTGCGGGCCAGCGTGTGTTATTAACGAAATGGTCTTGGCGGCTTCTCTAACACAGCAGAAAAGAACACTTCTTGATCATCCTTGTCCAACTTTGGAACAACTATCCACTTATGCTTCCTATACCTTAGCATCTTAAAGGCTTCCAAATAATCATCCAAATCTTCCTTTAAACAGAAAAAGCTGTCGATCCATAGCAAACCTCCTGGCCTCAGAACTCTATCCCAATCATACAATATAAAATCTAGGAGCACAAAATCTATCCATCCATCAAGAAACCTTGTTGTGTGTAACAAATCCAGAGTATTATCAAAGAATGGAAGCCGTTGATTTATAGTCGAGTATAGAGGTAAAAGTCCCCGAAGAGCAATCATTTCACTAAAAGGTGCCCCAAGATTGATAGTTGCCGAGACTATTGTGACGTTGAACTCTCTCAGTCTTGCTGCAAAAGTCCCAGTTCCTACACTGAAATCCAATCCAATTCTGATCTCTCCTGACTTGATGTTAAGAACTTCAGGTATCAGAAAATCTGCTGTAAGATTCATCTTGGGGTCAGAATTCACATGTTTGATCCATCTTGGCATTTCATGGTCCGAGAGATTGAAGCAATCTGCGCACTTAAAAAATCCCTTGCGAGTTGTATTGCTAGCTAGGCAAGTGAAGTTTTTGCACTTGTACTGGCTCCATCGGACATTTCGATTGTCAGGAAGTTTCCACATGGACTCGTTAATGGGGAATGGCTTGCTGTATAGTTGTGGGGCCCTTGCAAAGCACCTCCTCCTCGGTAATGGATCACATCCATGAACCATCAGCCTTTGAGCTAGCTTCCAATCATCTTTGCAGATTTCACCTACATCATAATCCATATACTCTTCAAGATCTTTCTTCATTGCAAAACAAGCATGGCCAATGCTCGTGAATGTTCCATTTGCTCCCATGAAGTTCTGTTTTCCTAAACGGTTGGGTTTGGTCCTTACATATTTGCGAATCTCTTCTATCAGAAAGAACTCGTCAGGTTCATCCAACCGTTGTTTTCGCCTTACTAGGGGGTGGACAGCTCTGATTTCACTTTTTTCCTGAGGATTTCCTGATATCTGTAATGACTCAATAAGCCTCAAAATATCAGCGAGAAAAGCACTGTATCTTGACGTGAGTGTTTCTGCTGACGGGTCTATTGACAAATCTCTCATCTCATTCATTTCTTTGTGGATCTTTTTAACAATAGCTTCAACAGCGGTTCGTGCTTCACTCTGAACTCTGCTTTGACACTCAATATTTACATGACTGCAGAAGGTATCGGAAATAAAAAGAGATCTGATAGAATATAATTTGGACAGAGTAGCAATAGAGACCAAAAAAGCTAAAATACCAAGAATAAAAGTTGGCCTGCGAACTCCTCCCCATCTTCCAAACTTCACAGAAATGTTAGGTTTCGGCATCTGTCTAAATGAGAACTTGAAATTGGAAACTAGTCACTACTAAGAAAAACAGCAGAAGCTACTCTAACAAACCATGTGTAATGAATTTACAGAATAACATACTAAACAGAAATCGGAGGCCAACATACCCAGTATCAGATAGGAAAAAAAAAGTATGAGGGCTTTATTAAGAGTACCTGAAACCGCGAAGCTGAATGAAACCTTCTGGCTTGGAGAGGCAGGTGGGGAGGGTGGGTAAGAGATGAGTTTGACCGTAGGTCATATAATTAATTGCTTAAAGATATACTAAAAACTTAATATTGGAAGATTTTGAGATCCGAGTCAGAAGTTCTATTTTCTTTATCTTATTGAGTTTTGGGCTTCTTGGTCATATTTCCTAGGAACTCTACATAGATCTATTGAGTGTCTTTTAATATCCATTCTATTCAGAATCTTGTATAGCTAGCTTCCATCATGCACATTGCACATTACTTGGTCAATCTCGTCTCCTTAAAGCTTCCAGTTTTCTTGCAATAACGTATTCATTGGAACACTTGCAAGATAAAGCAAGGTTCTGAGGAGAAATGGGCCAACGCACAATAGTAGAATCAGTTACAGTGGGCTACAATAAGAATCTCAATTTTAAAAATAGAAGCAGCAAGTCAAGTAGGTACAGAAGGTTTGCTTTGTACTTGGAAAACTATAGTAACTAAAATGGTTGCGGGATGCCAGTCATTAGATATTTATTTTAAGTCAGTAGTTGCGTTAGATGTACTTCCCTTTCCTATCTGTATATCTGGAACACGATACCATCATATAAGGAATTAATATTAAACTCTATGCTGCAGTTTATATATATATATATATATATATATATATACACACACACACAAATGATGGACTTCTCCATGCTACATGGTTAACAATTTCTCGCACATCCATACGAATGAGACTATGAATCATCAAGAAATCGGAAAGGAATGAAGTACAATCAACAGTGCAAAATGCAGTAATAATCTGTGATTAGCAAAGGGATTTGTTAATGAAATTGTTTAGGAGGAAAATAAGAAAGAATGCTTCGTTGTATTAGAGAGTTTCAGAAACTGCTTTTGTATGGAATGTGAGTAGAACAACCAAACAGTAGTTGAATAGAACAGGACACTATAATAGTACAAAGAATAAGAATCAAAACCATCTTGCAATTGATGAAAAAGTCAATCATTGTTACAGTGAAGGTAAAATTCAATGGAAATTGAAAATGATAACGCACCAATTCTCACACTACCAGTCAAAATGCTTTTCCCAACTTTTCATTTTAGAACAATCCAAAATCACAAATCAGTAAATCCCAATCCCCCTACCTACTCAAAAACCAAAAATTTACAATTTCACATTTCAAAACACAACCGACCACTCCACATTACACACTAAAGCCAGATCAAACCAAAATCACCTCCTCCTCCGATCCGCCGCGTACTGCGACAACGGCACAACCTCCGACAACGGTGTAGAAAGCGGAGTAGGCAACGGTGAGTTCCGACAAACTGGACAGGACCCATTAAGTTTAAGCCAAGCATCAAGACAAATCAAGTGAAAATAATGCCTACACTCAGGCATCATTCTTAACATCTCCAAATCTTTATACTCACACAAACAGATCGAGCAAGTATTACTAAAATTATTGGTCCTTTCACTGAACCCACCATCTTTACTAAACTGGAATTTCGGGTACGAGTTTATAACAGCCTGGTCCAGACCAACAGCAGCACTTTCCAAATCACGTTCTTGTTCTTCGTCGTCTTCGGCAACAAAAATAATGCGAGGAAGTATTATGCCATCAGCTGTAGAGTTTGAATAATTATTGTTGTTGTTGTTGTTGTTGTTAGAGTTACGAGAGCGATTGCGGGTAGCGCGACAACATATGTAAGAAGCAAGGAGAACAGTGGAAAGAAGGACTAGGAAGCCAAGGGCTATGGCTATTGAATAGCCAAGGCCAAGGTTTGTAAGGTAATTAGTAGAGGGAGGGGATGTGGCGGCGGGGACGGAAGAGAAAGTGGAGGGGATTGTGGTGGTGGGGGTGGGGGTGGTAGTGGTGGACATTTGGGTTTAAAGAGGGATTGGGAGTCCATTTGGGGGGCGCGAGAAGAGAAGGGTATGGGGATTAGGGGAGATTTTTTTCGGGGAAGGTGGGTGGATTTTCCAGCTGCTGCATTTAATACAGGGTTTGGAAACAGAGAGGGGCATTTAATATGTGTGGAAGTGGGAAATCATGGGCTTTGGGCCTTGTTTGTGCTTGGAAATTAGAGGGGTTTAGTAATATTTTTTCTAATGGAGGTTCATGGGTACTGGAAGAGTTTTGAACTGCTCACAAAATCTGTGAATATGGCCGTTAAGGTTGCAAGATGATGTGAAGTTTCTTGAAACATTCCAACAAGTGAGAATATTTGGCTGAATTTGAAAAATTCACTACCATGGGAATCTTGGAAACCAGATTTGACATATTATTTTTCTTTTACATCAGAGGAAAATATTTATGGAGGATGCCATATTTGTAGCCTTTTTTTTATTGGATTGCATGAGAACTAAATTAAGGACAGTGCTTCCTCTTCTATAATTCCTTAAGTGTGGATAATATTGTAATTCAAATTGCGTGAGATGTCGCTAACCAGCTCTACTTGTTGAACTAACACCCACTAAGGTCTTTTTTCGTTTTTTGTCCTGAAACTGAACTTTAGTGCTCTTTCAAGAATGATAAGCATTTTTAGCATTTAGCTCAGTTATAATTGGTCTTAAAGCGAGGAGGAGGATATATTTCTCCTCTTTTTTTTTTTTCCTACGTTTTGTGTTCTTATACCATCTATTTCCTAACTCCCATATGACGCAGTCTCCCACTTCCTACCAATTGTGATCGCTGATATTGGAAGTTACCAAATCCATGAGAAGCCTCCAACAACCTTTCAACAATTAAAAAAATTAGAATGGCCTTTGAATTTTCCTTCCCCCACTTTCGGGTTGCTATCTATCAAACGAGAATGAAGGGATTTAATTATTCTGTATTTGACCCAGCATGCCAACTTATCTGTGCAGAAATGGGGGCACCTTGCCATGTTCTCCATGTGAAAGACAAACAAGAGCGTTTCGGCCCAAGTGGATCTCTTGTCAAGTTTTCCATGGTCACAGGTCTTTAAGCAAAGCCCGTTATACAACAATATAGTATACACAAAGCAAGAAGCCCGAAGTTCTCCGTCTTTTATCTTCTGTTTTAAAAAGGCTAAATGGTGAAATTTGTTTTAATTTTAATCTTTTTGAACTTCTAATTTAAGTTTGACCTTTTTAAAATTTTAATTTTTAAATATTTAATATGTTGAAATATATATGTGCAGGTTGTGTGTGAAGCTGAAATGCATGGGAACAATGGGTGAAGAAACTAGAAGGAAACTAGTTACAGCCAACCTGGCACATCAGCTGTTTGATGAAATGGCTATGTCACTCGGAGCTGGAATTCTGCCACTTGTCAAAGCCTCCAAGAATCCGGGAGATTCTCCGCCTCTCGTGACTCGCACCGACCCAATGATTGGCATTCACACCATGGCAAAATAGAGAATTAGTTAGTTAGTTTTTCATTTTGTAAAACTTCTAGAAACACACTGTCATTATATATAGAAGAACAATAACGGAATGTAAATGTAATGCATATAATTATCAATGAAATAAGCCTCCCTTCATCTTTTTCTCGAGTCTCTCGCTCTCTATTTTAACATGGTATCGGAGCATCCATTCTTCCGTTAAATTCCGAAACACCCATACTACAACAATGGCCACGAAGAAAACACAACAAGAAACGATATAGCCATTATTGACTTCATAAATCCTCTTCATATCCGTGCATCCGAGACACCAAATCTCGTATTCGTTCCAAAAGAATTGGAGCTTAAAGGCATGAAAAACTATGGATTATGGTCTAGAGCTATGAAGATCTCACTTGAAGCAAAAAAATAAGTATGGCCTTGTTGATGGAACATGTGAAAAACCGAACCAAACTCACCTATGTATCCACATTGGGTGAGGTGCAATGCAATATTATTTGCTTGGTTATTAAACACGGTTTCTCGGGAGATTTACAATGCTATGGTTTACTACAAGTCAGCTAAAATGGTGTGGAAGGATCTCGAGGAGAGATTTGATAAAGTCAGTGAGCCTCGAATGTTTGCTATACACGGAGAAATCTCACACATCATGCAAGGTACTCTCTTTATGTCAATATATTACTCAAAACTAAAGAAGCTATGGGATGAGTTTGAAACCTTAGTCGCATTTCCAACCTGTGTTTGCCCAAATTCCAAGTCGTATCTAGAACATACGCAAGCATCTAAAAATGTTACAATTCCTAATTGGTTTGAATGAAAGTTATGCAAATGTAAGATCACATATCCTAATGATGATGCCACTTGCCTACACATACTCAAGCCTTTTCTATTGTGAGCGAGTGAAGAATCCCAACGAACTATCTCCACCAACATACAAGTACATGAAACACCAACTAGTGTTTATTCTAGCAATCAATCAAAACTTGAGAATATAAGCGAGGAGAGAGGCTAATGACTTGTGATCATCGTCATATGACGAGCCATTTAAAAAAGGATTGTTACAAGTTGGTTGGCTATCCAAACACACCCGGAAGAGGTTCGGGAAGAGGAGGAAGATGGCTATATGGTAGAGGTAATGCCGAGAGAAACTACCATGCAAATCAATCATGCTTATAGAGTGACTGAATGCAATAACCTGGAGTTCGAACAAAGAAGATCAACCAAATCAAATAATGGAAAATGCACTTAGTATTCACACATCAACGGTACAATCGGATCATGCAACTACTGGGGCAAATTCGATACGGGGAAAGCATCAATCTCAAACCAAATCTCGACGAAATGTTGCGGTATTTTTACTTATTGTGCAAATGTAATGGATGATTATTTGAGGAGAAATTGGGTGATAGACGAGTGGAGCTAATGAACATATGTCTTGTAAGTTAGAAAAGAATGCATTAATTTCGATTTAGCTTCAAAGCATTTAGAGGTTCAATTGCCAAATGGTGAATCATCCCAAGTAACACACACAAGTACTATATCTTTATCTCCCGGCTTCAAACTTACAAATGTGCTACACATACCAGATTTCAAATTTAACCTACTGTCTATTTCGAAATTCACCAAAGACAACCAATGTTTTATGTCATTTTACCCCGATTTTTGCCTATTTCGGGATCTCAAGATCGGGTTGATAAAGGGGATTGTTATGATGCACAATGGACTATATTACCTCAAGATAGACACACTTTTAATCGATCACTCATCACAAAATTTCAAGTCTCGACCAAGTTCGGATTCCTTAATTTCTTCCTCTCATATCATGTCGGTTTCAAAATTCATTAGTAGCAATGATTTTCAATCGAGTTGTAATGCAATTTCTAAACTAATAAAGAGCAATATTTGGCATATAAGATTTGGATATGCTAGCAACATGAGACTCAAGTTTTTACCGGCATTAAAGGATATATATAAACATGAAAAGAGACAATGCACAATTTGCCCACTAGCAAAACTAACCAAGTTGCCTTTTTCAAAAACACCAACCAAAACAAAATATATCTTTGAACTACTACACATTGACATTTAGGGACCCTATAGAACACCTACACATAATGAAGCCAAATACTTCCTTACTCTAGTAGATGACTATTCAAGAGGGACATAGACATTCCTACTAAACTTCAAAAGTGATGCTAACACCACGATAAAAAATTTCTTCTCCTTTGTCAAAACATAATTTTCCAAAACCATTAAAAGAATCGAAACGAGACGAGTAAGGGATTTTTGGATCTTGAGTGCAAGAAATTTTTGAAAGAACAAGGAGTAATTCATGAGAGTACTATACCCTACACACCATAACAAAATGAAAGAGTAGAAAGGAAATATAGACACATACTTAATGTTGCTAAATCCTTTATGTTTCAATCAAATGTGCTTAATAGAGTTATAGGGAGATTGCATTTTAACGACTACTTATTTGATCAATAGAGTTCCTACACCACTCTTGAATTACAAAACACCTTATGAAATACTTTTTCGAAAATCACCTAGAATAGATCACTTGAGAGTATTTGGAACTTTGTTTTGTGAAAACTCTACATAATTATGATAAATTCAATCCTAGATCAAAACCATATGTGTTTGTTGGATATCCCTTTGGTCGATCGAGTTACAAAGTATATGACATGGATTCAAAGAAATTTTCGGTATCAAGAGATGTACTATTCTATGAAAACACATTTCCTTTTGAGTTAAGGCAAAAGTATTCACCTCAAAATCAAAAACATTTCAATGAGTTTCGTTTGATGAACTAATTTCGGTGTCCACTCTTGAAACCACACATTCTAATGACAATGCACATACACCAACCACACAACAATAGAACATACTTATTCGGACGAAGCATAAAATTCTTTCTTTAATTCATCTGAACATGAATCACAAAGTGAGGTAAATCTTAGAAGGTCTACTAGAACAATCCAATCACCGAGTTTGGTCCAATGATTATGAGTGTCCTACAATCCCAGAAGCAAATCGGTCAAGACGAAAAGAAAGCTACCTACCTTATCACAGATTACATTACTTATGACCACATAACACCAACATACAAAGCATACATATCAACCTTAGCCGATATCAAAGAACCAAATGGTTACTTATGAGGCAAAAAAGGATCCTAGGTGGGTTGAAGCTATGAAAAAAGAAATGCAAGCACTCGAACTTAACAAGACTTGGGTTCAGTGACATTACCAAAGGGGAAGAAACCAATAGGATGCGAGTGGGTATTCAAAGTGAAATGTAATTCGGATGGGAGCATTGATAGATATAAGGCAAGACCTGGTTGCCAAGGGATACACTCAAAAGAGAGAATATACTACAAAGAAACTTTTTCACCGGTTGCAAAAATGGTGACGATGAAGGTCAGTGATTGCATTAGCTACAGTGAAGGGTTGGAAGCTAATGTAGATGGATGTAACCAATGCATTTTTGCATGGAGATTTGAAAGAAGAA